CCCCCCCCCCCCAAGCTTCCTTGGCTGACCCTCATAGAGCTTGGCTTCCAAAACTTTGGCCATTTTGGTGGCCCTTCTCTGGTCACCTTCCATTTTGTCTATCTACACCTTGAGTTGCTTTGCCCAGAAGTGGACACAGGGTTGTTATTCCAGGTGACCAAAGCAGAAGAGAATGGGACTCCTTCTTTCTAGACCAGTAATTCCCAATTACCTGGGAACCGCTCTGGTCTCAAACACACTGTTTAATACCCTTTGCAAATCATGAAGGCGTTTCTCTGGCCTCTGGCCTCCCTCTTGTTAGCTAGTCTTTGACTCCTTCGAATTTGGAATTCCAACCGGTCAGCCCAATCTAAAGTTCCCATATCGTCAAGGTCAGTCTGTTCGTTAGCCTGTTTCCCTGCTTGCTCATCATCAGGCTGAGAGCTCTCCTTCTTCTTTGAGTCAGACTGCACCTGGCTGTTTTCAGTATCAACACTCTCATGCCTTACTGTGGGAAACTGCACTTCTTCCCTGTCTATAACAGGGACATTTTGAACTGACCTGTGAACCTGAATCCCATCATCCTCATCAGAAACACTCTCTGATTCCAGCTGAGTCACAACAATAGATCTCTGCAAAGAAAAAAACTCTCCAGAACTGTATTCTAAAAACCCTTCCATTGATACCCTATTGGGTGTGGTCCAAGATTGCTGGTTGACCTACATTACCAGCTGCACATAATAATTACCATCATAAGGTTTTTCTTCAACACACACACACACACACACACACACACGTGGTCCTGCTACAACTTACTGTAACAAAAGTGATCCCTGGTTAAAAACAAAAAGGTTGGGAACCCCTGTTCTAGACACTATGCTCCAATTGCTGCAGCCTAAAATATTGGCTTTTTTAGCTGCCGCATCACACCCTTGGCTCGTGTTCAGCTTGTGGTCAACTCAGACTCCTAGCTCCCTTTCTCATGGACCGCTTTCAATCCAAGTGTCCCCTGTCCTATGTGTGTGTGTATATATACATATACACACAACCTATATCTTTTGTACTTCCTGAACAGGTGAAGGACTTGGCCTCAGTCTCCCTGAAGAACCCTGTCCGGATCTTTGTGAACAGCAACACAGACGTGGCACCCTTCCTGCGGCAGGAGTTTGTGCGCATCCGACCCAGCCGTGAGGGGGACCGGGAGGCCATTGTGGCAGGTCAGGCCCACGTTCGGAGGGCGGTGTGTGATGCGTACGTGCCCTGCTGTGTGCCTCCTGTCCCCTGACATCTCTCCCCCCCTCCCCCCACAGCGCTCCTGACCCGGACCTTCGCCGACCACGTGATGCTCTTCACGCAGACCAAGAAGCAGGCGCACCGCCTCCACATCCTCCTGGGCCTCCTGGGCCTGCGGGTGGGGGAGCTCCACGGGAACCTCTCGCAGGCGCAGCGCCTGGAGGGCCTCCGGTAAGTGGGAGGGTATAGCATGGGTTGGGATGGGCGACAGCAGAGGAAGACATGGCCCAGGCGTCCCTCTGACGCAGCCTCTTTCCGCTGCAGGCGCTTCAAGGACGAGCAGATCGATGTGCTGGTGGCCACGGACGTGGCGGCCAGAGGGCTGGACATCGAAGGAGTCAAAACAGTGAGTCCATCCCTCCCTCCTCCTCCTTTTCAAGCTTGCCACCCCTCAGAATAGAATCCAAGAGTAGGACCATCTATTTGAAGCCCCTTCCAGGCAAGAAGGCACAAGCCAAACCCTCTTAACAGATGGCCATTCACTCTTTCAGTCAGCAGAGACAAACAAATCAAGTGCTCAGGCAAGAGAGATTGATAACAGAGTCAAAGCCAAAAAGAAATCCGTTCATGGCCGCTGGGGATATAGTGTAGATTAGGGGATAAAAGTGCCAAGTTCAGAATCTCTAGCCAGACGAAGCAACGTTGGACTTGAGTCAAGGTATCGTCTCAGTTCCCTGGAAGCCTTGCTTTGGAGAGATTCATGTGCTAAGTGTATTGTTTGATTCTTTCTCAGGCTCAAAGCCTTGGGAATTCCTTTGGTAGCAACTCAGGCCCAGGAAACAAACCATCACCCCCAAACCCTTCAGGAACATTCTCATCAGAAAACTCACTTTGAACAAGAATCCCATTGTCGTTCTCTGCATCTGGAGCAACCTCATCATCATAGACATGAACCTCATTGTCACTCCCAACATCCAGAGAACCCTGATCATTAGACACAATCACAGGCTGAACTCCAACATTATCCAAGTTGGTGTCCCTTCTCCAGACCCCCCCC